GCAAGGGGCTCCTGACTGGAGAGAAAAGAGGCCAGGCGCAGCTCCGGGTGCAGGGGGCTGTGCATTGCTGCCTGGTCCTGTAATGCTGCTTGCTGAGCAGCTTGGGAGCAGTGGTGCAGCTGATCCATCACTTTCTTGATTTCAGATTCTCCTGCTGACCGTGAAGCAGATCTTCCCAGACTTCGAGTTCATGTGGCTGGTGGATGAAGCTAAGAAGAATTTGCCCCTGGAGTTGGACTTCCTCAATGAGGGGAGGAATGCAGAAAAGGTGGCCCACATGCTCAAGGACTTTGACTTCCTGAAGGTAGGTGAGTGCGTGCATGTCACACATGTGTGTGCGCTAATTTATGTGCATGCACAGGCAGGAGTCAGGAATGGCACATCAGCTCAGTGCGGGAGGACAATGATGTATAGCAACAATCTTCTGTTTTGAAGTGAATGTAATGCTGGTGATGGTGCTGGATCACCAGTGCTGGAGACTGATGGCCTGATCAGGCCCATCAATGTGCCTCATCCGTGACCTGGAGGAACCAGGTGGAGTGAGGGGAGTTCAGTCCCCATGGCCCATTCGATGCTGGGCTTCTCGCTGAGACTGGCTAGGAATTGAGCTGAGACTCTCCAACTCATTTTCATACTGCAAGCCACTGAACACCTGGCAGATGGTAACAGCTTTCTGTCACTACCGCTCTGGGCTGGTTCAAAATTTGGACTTGGGGATGAAAGTCCCTGTACCCTGTGACTCATCGTCTCTGAGCCATCCAGCCCTGCCCTCATCTGGGTTAGATTGTCTCCTCCTGAGCCAGGGAGATTGATTCCATCAGGTCTTCGCCTTGTCGTGAGCACTGTGAATTTGCGATTAGCTGCTGGGCCATCCGATGGCACCTTTCCTGGGTTTCCTCTGAAGCAAGGGCTAGAAATGGAGTTCAAACAGAAGAGCTGGGCTGTAACTAATGAAGTCGGGGGTGGGGCAGGTATGTTGAGCGAGAGAGCCCATGCATATTGCAGTGGGAGGAAGGACACTTCCCCCTCAATCCACCCCCACTGCACACAGACACCCTCCTCACCCAGTGCGCATACACAACCCCTCTCCATGTGTGCACATCCATAGCCAAACACACAGCTCCCCTATGCATACACTCTGCCCACCCTATGCACTGATGCACAGCTACAGCGACACACACATCTGTCTCCTCAAAAACCAACACACTCATCTGCCCACATGCATACCTACATAGTCCTCTTATGCTCATCACCATATAGACAGCCATGTGAGTATGTGCATATGCCCACAGGTCCCCGACTGAAATGCTCAGGGGTGTGCACAAATTCACCCCACATACACACACTGAAACTTGCATGCACAACGCCCATCCTCATGCTTCCACATGTGCATATAAACACACCTAGGCATATGCACACTCAGAAACTGGCATGCAAATCCGTTTGCACACACACAAAGACGTACGAACAAATGCACTCACATGACACAAGCACGTATGCATCAACACAATTCTTTTCCTTTGCCTTTCACTTCCTGGTGAAAGTGACAGATGCCCAAGACCATGTGAATTTTCATCAGGTTTTGCAGGGTGTTGCTTCCCTCGTCCCTCCTGCCTGTCCTGTGATTTCTCATATCCTGGCCGTGGGCATGGGATGATCCTTTTGGAGTTCAGTGGCACCATATGACTGCCTTTCCCTAAGCACAGTTACAACCCAGTGGGACATTGGGGTGGCAGGAGGCCAAGGACCAACAATTCTGCTGAGGAGATGCTTATCAAAAGTGATGCATCTTAGAGAGCTGTGTCCGCGCTGTTGTAAGTAGGATATTATGGAATAAATCCCCATGGAGATAGCCAATCAGGTCCTCGTGGTTTAAAGAGCTGTCAGGATGCTTACACAGGTAACAATAACAAATGGCTGCGAGATGGCTAAATAATGGATCCTCCCATCTGACCTGCCGATTCTGAGAAGTGTTCATCAACACGTAGGCAACAGGAGATTTGGGCTCCTGTATCATTAATTTTCCTAAACACACAACTAAGCTAGGGAGTGGATTTTTTGCTGAGAACCCAGCTGAGCTTTTAAAGCCAGAGATAAATTGTTTCCATGCACTGGCATTACAGCCAAACATCTGTGAGTAATTCAAGAATCACCAAAGACTTTGCCTCGCATCTCCAAATGCTTGTATGGGGCTTAGTAACCCTCCTAACCCTCCACTGTAAATCTCAAGATGGGGATGAGTGTCAGCTTGGAATTGAAATCCTCTAAAGCCATTGGGATCAGTATGTTTAGGAGCTAGTGCTCCAGGTAACTGCAGGAGCTGGGGAACCTGTTAATTTTGGAGTCTGTGTTCAGTGGCTGTGGGGCTTTTAACTTCCTGACAAGTTTCAAAATAATAAAAGTCCAGATGGGATGGATCTAGGGGAGACCTTGGGTAAGTGCACTTGCCTTTCATGTTGGACATATGGCCTCAAATCACAGGCAGCTAATACATGAAGGTTGTAGGGAGCATTGCACAGCATGACTGAGGGGCCCTGGAAGAGTTAGGTGTAAGGGACCCGGGCTAGAATAGCAGGGGCTGCTAGGGGACAGGATTGAGGTGTGATGGGCATAGGACTGGAATAGCAGGGCAGGCTGCAGGTCAGGAGTGAGGGGCATTCATGGAGCTGTGAGGAGAACAAGAACTGGAGTTCTGGAGGGCAGCAGGTGAGGTTGAAGGCACTGTCACTAACCACAGCCCCTCAGAACTGAAGTTATAAAACAAATGCCGCCAGCTTAGGGGTTGTGATGAGCTACAGTGGCCTGGCTGGTTCCCCTGGCCTCATTCATATGAGGTGGGCAACACTGCTTCCCTCTCCCAGGCTTGCCTCAGGGTCACAGACCCTTGCTGTGGGATTAGTGAGCTCACTCCGTAGCATAGCACATTCGCTCAGCTAAGGTGGCTCTAGCTTAGCCCTGCTAACGGAGGGTGCCATGAGGTGAAGCTCTGTCTAGTGGGAGCATTAGCAATCTGGCTCACTTGTCAACAGCAGGAGTCTCAGCCTGCACAGAATGTGGTAGGAGGTGCAAGCTGGTGCTTATGAAAAAGGAGCCAAGTTTGTTTAGGACTCCGGTTTTGCTGAGTCTCTGTGCAACACTGGGGCCAGTTACTCCACCTCTTCATACCTCACTCAGTCCAATTTACTGCAGCTTGAGCAGAAAGCGCTGTGATATTTTGTGATTGTGTGACAGTGTCACATTTGCAATGAGATGCCTACGGGTCTCCCAGGGTTTCCGTGACAAATCCCTTATTTGTGAGGCTTAATTTTTCTCCCATTTCAATTGCTGACGGCTTGAAGTGCATGGGGCTTGTCTGCCTGGGTCCACTGGTGTTCCAAAGGGCACCTTCGAGATACCAATGATGATTACTTATCATTTATAGAGCTCTGTGCACAGTGCACAACAAATACGAACCAGGGTTCTTGCCTGGAGGAACCGACAATGTGACTCAGATGCATGCAACAGGTAATAGTTAGAAGCCTGACCTTGAGAAGGGCTGAGCGTCTAACAACACCCACGGACACCAGTGGATGTCACAAGTGCTCAGTGCCTTGGAGAGTCAGGCCTTAAATGTGGACAGGAGGTGGAGTTGCTGAGACCATTGTGCTGTGGGGAGAGGCTTGTGGTCTCCAGTGCTTTTCACCAGGATTAAATGCAGTTAAAGTAACCAAGGAAAAGCATACATGTGGGTGGATGTGGTGGCATCCCTTCTTGCAAATAGGGAGAGAACATGGGTTCTTTTCACCTCCACTATAAAGTTCCTTTCTTCCTTCCCCTTTTCCTCACTGGTGCATGACTCCCTTGCTGTTGCTGTCCCATGATTTGGCCTAACGCTCCATCATCCCATTCCAGGTCCCTAGGATCTACTGGGAGCTGTCAACCAGGCGCGTCCTTCTCATGGAGTTTGTGGAAGGCGGGCAGGTGAATGACAGGGCCTATATGGAGAGGAACAGCATCGACGTCAATGAGGTAAATTGTCACCCATCTCTGAGGTCGGACACTGAGGGTGTTCATAGAGATAGAAATGGTGATGTTATTAGACGTGGTATCACTGAGACTGATTGTCCATGAAGGACCAAAAAGGGATGACACGCACATAAATAGAACAGCATCTGTAGTGATACATCTGAGAGAGAACTCTCAATTCTTGTGCTTCAGGGCGTAAGAGATGACCACTTGCTGGGATCAGAAAGGTCCTCCCTGCAACCCATCTACCCTGTAGGATTGCAGAGTTGTATGGACTGACTAAAGGGAGTTCACATCTTTCTTTGCAGCCTGTGCTGTGGTTTGTTGTAGGAGACAGGACACTGGGTATCTTGCTCATATAATAAGTGGACTGTTGGTTTGTTCCATGATGGCAATTCATGTTATCCTAGGAAACAGGGTCACCTTCTGACACAGCATCCTTCCTCTTCTCTCTTCTGCATTTTGGCAGAACTTTAACCTTCTTTAAAGTGGGGGTGTTGGTAGAACTTTCGCCTTTAAGTTGCAACATTGTTGGAATTTAGCTTACATCCCTAATAATTTTTAAGGGTCTCTGCTTGGCTTCAGATAGCATCTTTTGAAAGAGCCATACAACCGAGGTCATAGCAGATCATGGTTATTAAAGAGTTTGCAAGAGTCACAGTGTTAACCTTGGTGTGCTGCCCAGATTTCAATTGGTCATTATATTCTGCTTCCCTAAATCTCCTTCTCTAGTTCCCTCTGTGGTTGAAACTGAGTATAGTTTTCCTCTTCACTTCCTGTCCTAAACAGTTGTATAATGTTGCTATACACTATTAAACAGTTGCCGTGTTTCATCCCAGAGGTGGCAGCATTTCAGTGATGGGTGAAGTGTTTTCTGTGTATAGCATGAAGTTGATAAAGCATTTTGGGTTCCTTGACATGAAAGGGACTGGAGGAAAGCAGGATATTACCTCCTGAAAGGGCTGAGAACAGGCCTGGGGGAAGGTTTTTGAGCCATTGAACGATGTTTCAACCCTCCCTTCCCAATCTGTGAGTGTTGATTGAGTCAGTGCTGCCAGCCTTTTCCCCTGTGCGCTATTGATGAGCCTCAAAGCACCACTTGGTTGACTAGCTATCAAAGAGCTACAGCATAAAATCAATTGTACTTAATCTGTCCCTCCGCTCGGCTCTGAAATCTGGACGCCTCATCCCTCCCCTCCCTTTTTATCCGTGGCAGAGTTCACTCACCGTCAATTAAGGATGTTCCAAAGAACAGCTGGGGGAAGGGAACTGTGTGTGTGTTAGCCCCTTCCAGGCTAGCAAGTTGTCTGTGTTCCCTCAACTGTCCCCAGAAGGCATCAGACACCTCCCTGACTACCTAGGCACACAGAGTTGTCAGGGAAGCATTGGGCAGGTGGGGACCAGGACTAGTGTCTCCCTACCCCTCCCAGCTGATCTGCATTTCACCTGTTCCTTTACATTGTAGCAAGCTGAGCCAATGAGAGGCAACAGTCTCTTGCCCAATAAAGGGAGGCAGCTGCCTTCTGAAACATGTCTGCTGGGGAGTTCAGTTGGCAAAGCGCGAGGAACAAAACAAGGTAACCTTGATGCTGAATTGGAGAGGAGGCACGCCCCTCCCAGCCCTAGGCTTCTTGTCATGTCGGACAAGCCAAGGGCAAGTGCAGAGTACTTTGTATTTTCCCTGCAAAATGCTGGTCAGGCCCCCGTTTTTATTCAGAGAGCTTCCTCACCTAGCTCACCCTGGCAGCTGACGGCGTAGTCTCTCACTCACTTACACACAGGTTCTTTGCATGGCACATGCAACTGGCTGAGACAGTGGAGCCTCTCTAATAGCACTTGCACCCAAGCGCAGGGCTCCCCTGTGGGAGCTGCAGTTCAGGCCCTTAGTCTTGCCATGCACGTTTGCATCCCTAGGCTGTGTCACGGGGTTCACTCACCACAGGTGCATCTCCTTGTGGCCAGGCGTGGTGTAGCGGCTGTCTCTCCTATGGCACCCACTGCCAACGGTCGCTCCGTCGGTGAGTTGGTCTCTCTTCCTGCAGCTTGGCCCTCCAGCCAGGTAGTGGTTTAGTCCACCCCTTCCAGGATAACAGAGTCCAATCAAGCTATAGTCCAATGACCTTATAGTATGTATTCCCTCTGTCTCTGGGCTCTGTGGTCCTTACTCTCTGGGGGGTTCCCTCTACTCTTGGTTCCTGCCAATAAACCCGGTAGTTGACAGCAAAGTCTACTCCCTCAGACTTCTTGCTGCCTCCCTGGATGGCTTCTTACTTCTTCTATCCCCCCAAGAGTGAGTGGAGACCCTCTCCTGGCAGCCCCTTTCTATTACAAACTTCTCGGCTTTATAATCACCACTCAGACCCTCCCCAGCTGGCCTTCATTATCAGTTCAACCTAGCTTTCTCTGTCCCTCTCTCTTGCAAGTGCTGCCAGATATGTTAATTGGCCTCTCATGCCCACGTTAACCCCTTCTGGGCCTGTGTGGGGTACGTGCCCCATCACAGGCTGGTTGAGGCCTGTATCCCAACCCTACAGCATGGGGATGTGTCTCATCAGCAGTGGGCACAGCACATACATTGCCTTTCTTGTGTAGGCTTTGCTACAGGGAAGTTGTCTTGTGTTTACCAAGCTAAATGCATCTGTGACTAGCTCTGTGATACGTCTGGTCTGTGAAGAGCTGTCCCAGTGTGATTCACAAGGTGCTGACGGTTCACTGACTTTGCAGTCAAGGGAGACTAACAGAGCCCGGTCCCCAGCAGATCCCCCACCCACCTCCATTCACCTTAACCCAGTGGGGACTTTGCAGCCTTGCTTTGATCAACCACATAATCAGGCTAGGCCAACAGTTTGTTCCAGACAGGAGCAGCCAGCTCTAGTCATGGAAGCATAATTAGGAAACATCTCAGCATGGTTAACCCTGAGATCCAGCCTTTCCTGTTGGGCTGATCTCTGTGGTTGGTGCCTGTTCCTCAGCTCCCAAGCCGCTCTGTGAGAGAAACTCCTTTCAGAGTGAGCTCAATGCTGGTGAGTGGTGCCAAATTGACAGCCTAGATTGAAGGCCTCTCTGCCCCCCTTGGATAAGTGCAGCATGGGTAGCAGGAGGGAAAGCAGCTTCCACTGCTCTGAAGTGACTCCTAGGGAGGAGCAGGGAGTTCACGTTCCATGACCTGTTCAGTGTTTGGCCTCACTGCTGAGGCTGGTAACTTAGACAGCCAATGGCTGACTTGAACTGGCAAACTGGCAAGGGTCTATATTTCATGCCCAACCCCCTGAGGCAGCCACTTGGTGACTTTTCTGAAAGTCTGGGGTCAACCCTCTCCCTCCCTGCCTGCTGCTGGAGCCCCCATATCTTGTATTCTCAGGGTCTGGCCAGCATAGAAGAGCTCCTGCTGCAGAAGAGTGAGTCAACAAGGAGCTCTATAGACATTTTGGAGGTGGAGATTGTCATGCCACAAGTAGGGGTAACCTTTAGAAAGATGTGACCAACTACTAGTTGGATTTTGGCCTGCTCCTAGCCAGTCATTCAGAGGTGCCTTCTCCCTTCCTTTGAGGAGATGTGTCTTATGCAGCTCTCTTCCCCCTGAGATAAAGTCCTTGCACAAAGCCTGGTGATAGGAGAATGTCAGAAGCAGAGATGAGTCTGATCCACAACATTCTGATCTAGATCGTAACATTCCCCAAGTCTTGAGGAGTTTGGATCTGGAGTTTGGTTTTGACCCATTAGAAATAGGGGCAGCTTGGGGCTGCAAAGTTGTCTGGGAAAGCCCTGGGGAGGGGAGTGGAGCACGCATTCTTGTCAGCTTTCTAGGGTTTCCTGCTCCCGATCAGACTGGAATCTCCACAAGCATAGCCTTTCTCTGGGGCATTTTGGTGTCCGGATGTGACAGAATAATGTAAAGACTAAGCTAACTGCACGTTTTCCAATTCACAAAAGCTTTCGGTGGTATGGAGGGGTTCATTCGGAGCCTTGTTGGAAATTCGAGCTGGCTCTTATTCCAGCTATCGTATTTACGCCATTGGGAAAGCTGTGTTACCACATCTCAGTGCGCTGGTGCCAAGTTGAGATGAAACCTCCCAGCATGCTGGCTTTGTGCCAGCCCCAAAGATATTGTCGTAATGTTTCCAGTGGTTGGTTTTAAAAAAGGTCTGCTTCTGCGGGGTGCAAAAACCCTTGGGCTATTGTCTGCCTGGTCAGTCTGTGCAGTTACTGCAGCTCTGTGCTTGGATGGGGTATTTACGCAGGCCATCTCGGTTCCTGTAGACACCACTTAGCTGCTCACTTACACACGTGCAGTTTTAAAAAAACGATTAACTCTTTTATTAATTGTCAGCAAAACAACAGTACGGAGCTGCGGGTAAAATCTCTCTCTCAGGCATGCTTCTTCCCTACCGTTTTTAACTGGGTGGGGGGAGAGGAGTCCTCAGCAAGCAGGATTTCTCTCATGCAGTAACGCAGACTTGAAGAGCAAGCTGAGCCTCTCTCCTCTAAATGGAAAGGATCCCTGAGGTGAAAGCTCCCTTCAAACCAGGTTACTGACATTTACTTAATGCCGTCTGTAGCGGGATTATCATTAAAGCTGCCCAAAAGCACATTAATCTCTCTGGAGCCGTCCGAGCGCTGGACTGTAATGGCATTTAATCAGAGAAGGCTTTGATTTCTAAAGACAAGTGCAAACACTGAAATATCTGCCTGTGGAACAGTTACCTATTCATGTGCAAGCACAGCCGAGGAGGAGAACGCAGCTGGGATATTAACGGTGGGAGGGGAGCGTGGGTCTCAGAGAAATTAGTTGGCTGTAATCTAGAGGCAAGGAAGGGTGTGTGGGGATAAGACCTGGATCTTTTTGGAAATGGACTCTCTCTGTTTCAGGAGATCAGAGCATTTGTGGGCCAGGACGGGGGAGAGCAAACAGGGATCCAGGAACTTATGGCATGTTTGCTGCAGGAAAGTAAAGAAGAATGAGGCTGTTCAGAGTACATCCTTCTAAAGAACCCCTTCCCTGA